CACAATGTCCCCTCACTAGCCCACAGCTCTGCAAGGGACAGCACTGAGGACACAGTATGAGAATGTTCCTGGTCTGACCCCCACACAGCGGGTCAAAATAATGCAGGAAGCACAACAGAGCAGCAAGGTGAGCAAAGCAACGAAGTCCCTGAGGAATCCCCAAAATAGACTTCAGACTCAGAGGGCAGGACTTGGCAGCTAATCAGACTCTATCAGATAATATACATAAGGGTCAGCAGACAGATCTGGAACTATTTATAGGTCTCCCCCCTTTTTTTCATATCTATCTATATAAGATAGGAAAGATAAACAATCCCAAGGAGAAAACAATGGGACTGACAATTTTGGGGGGACAGGGGAGAGGGGGTGGGGGAATAAAGGGAGTGGAGAGACAACAAATCCAGGGACAAGAGATCTAAAATCAATGGTGAGGAGGATGTAGAACACCTGGTGGGGTTTGATCAAGTGCAATGTAGCTGAGAGGAATTACGAAGAGCTGAATGAAGGTCTAAAATGATAGTGGAATAGGAGGAAAGTATAAGGAAATAGAGGGAAAAACTAGGAGGGAAAAGACATTTATAGAGGTATAAATATAGGCATGTATATATACAAATACATTAATATATAATGATAGGGATATAGGTCTGTGTTAGTCTGGGTAAACTAGGGAAGCAAATCCACAGAAACTCATATGCATAAGAGAGAGTTTTATGTAAAGGGTAAGTGTACATTAAGAAAGAATCCCAACCCAGTGCTGTCCAAGCCCATAAGTCAAACATTAGTCCATATGTCCAACACAATCTACAAAGTCCTCCTCAATCTCACAAAACACATGCAATGATGCCGACTGGAGAAGGAAAGCTGAATCAGTGAGCGTGCAAGCATCTCAGTGCTGGCAGGGTTCTCCACAAGGCTGCTCCAGCACCCAGGGCTGCATGGGGGTAGGTCCATGTGGCTTCTCCTCAGGGATATCTTGCAGGAAATGAGCCTTGTCAGCTGAAGCAGGGAAATGGCTAAGGCAGCTGCACCCTGCACCAGCAGAAAACAAGAGACACAAGAACTAGAAAGGTGAGGCTCACCGAGCCATTTATTTCTCCGCCCTTCAATTAATCCCACATGTGTTTATCAGCCAGGTTGCTACAATAAACCTTACCTATCTCAAGGTCTATGTACATATAGTTATATGTTAAGTATCAAGGTAGCAGATGGACATTCCTCCCTCAATGCAAGAACACTTTGTTCTAATAACCTGGAATTCTGTGGTGCTTACCTTCCCAACATGATCGCTGAAGTCAAAATGGGTGCATAAGCAAATGTGGCGAAGAAAGCTGATGGTACCCAGCAATAAGAAGATATAGTGTCCGGGGTCTTAAAGGCTTGAAGTTAAACAAGTGGCCATCTAGCAGGGAAGCAACAGAGCCCACATGTAAGAAGCACACCAGCCTGTATGATCACAAGGTGTTGATGACAGGATCGGGTATCAGGTCTCAGAAGACCTAAAACAAACAATCATATTGATGCTAACAAGGGGGGTTCAAGTGAAGACCCAAAGCCCATCTATAGACAATTGGACATCTCCTCACAGAAGGGTCACAAGTAAGGGATGAGTCAGCCAGCATGCAGTATAGCACTGATGAAACACACAGCATTCTTCTAGTTCTTTAATGCTTCCTCCTTCCCCTTATCATGACCCCAGTTCTACCTTACAAATCCGGCTAGACCAGAGCATATACACTGGTAAGGATAAGAGCTCTCGACACATGGAATCCAGGACAAGCGATACCATGAGGGTAGGGGAAGGTGGGGAGAGAAGAGGAAGGAAGGGGGAACCAATTGCAATGATCGATGTATAACCCTCCCACACCCCCGAAGGGGAACGACAAACAGAAGTGTGGGTGAAGGGCGACAGTGAACCGTGTTTGATATGAAAATAATATAATTATTATAGGGGGTAACGAGGGTGGGAGGGTGGGGAAGGGATGGAGGGTAAAAAGAGGAGTTGACACCAAAGGCTCAAGTAGAAAGAAAAACGTTTTGGAAATGATGATGGCAACATATGTACAAATGTGCTTGACACAATGGATATTAGATTGTTATAAGAACTGTAAGCTCCTGCAATAAATTGATTTATTTAATAAGAAAAAAAGAATCAGCCTTGGGCTGATGCTGATTCTCCTCTTCTCTCCTTGTCACAACATTGTGACACCAGTTTTAATATAGTTGCCGAAACACTTAATTGCTGATATGGGGATATTATATCCCGAAAACTACTGAAAAAACAAACCAAACTTGACCTATGGTTACCATGGGTGAAGGAGGAAGAGATTTTGCTTAGGGGCATTGAGCTTTTGTTAATGGTGGTGGAACAATTTGGGGTGGGATATCCATCATGGTTGTCCAACAAGAAAAGAAGAATCAATGGCACTAAATTAGACATATAGAGGTTGTTGACCTGGTGAAGATATTGTTGTGTATGCTTTTGCCAAAATTGGGGGGGAAATTGCATGATCTACTCTCCGATGAGTATGCGGGAAAATAAAATGTTCTAAAATTGATGTGGCAAAGATTGTGCAATTCTTGACATGGTTGAACTATTGAATTGTATGATATGTGGATGAAGTGCCAATAAAACTTTTAAAAAGCAACACTTAATTGTTTCTAGATGGGGCAGATATTAACTAAACGAGGAGAACTTTCTAAGGGGATAGGTTTGGACTACTCAGGTGCATGAACTTGTCAAACTATTGGAATTGTGCACATAAAATCTGTGCTTTTCGCTGTATGTAAATCATACCTCAATGAATAATTTATATAAAATCAATAATCAAAAGAATGAATACAAGGCAAAATGGATAAAAACTGAACACTGGAAAGTTTTAGAAGAACTACAAATGAGCCATTACAAATATTTATTCTCTTCTGCATTGTTGACAGAGGTGTTCATTGATACAATTTACTGAGGACAATTAAAGAATACTGAACAAAAACATCTATTGTCTATAAACTGTAGCCATCTCAGATTTGCAAGTATATTCTTCCAATTATCAAGAATGCATAAAGATATTTTAAGGTCATTTACTTTAGCATCGTTTTTATAATATTACAACTTGGGAAGCCACCTTCATGTCCATCCATGCTGGAAAGAATTAAAATACATGATAATTCTTTTATATACAGAACACTTTACAGTCTTTTAATATAGTACAATAGATATACAGACTTGAAAGTATTTTGTTATTTTTGTAAAAAGCTAATTTTTAAAATAACTATGTGTTTACTTATGTGTACATACTTAATAATACATGAACAACTTTTTGGTAAATTTTTAACAACGACTACTTTTGTGGTGTTAGATTATACTGATGACCTTAGCTTTTAACTTTCTATACTCATAAAGAGTTTACATTTGTAAGAGTGAATGGGTGATTGCTTTAAAGTTAAAATACAGACTCCAAACCATATTGCACGTTTTTTTAAGTTTATAAATGGAAGAAGAAAATATATATTCACAAAGCGTCTATAGATTGCAATGGATTCAGAATTCTGGATATGACAAAATGTATAGAGATTATTTCCCATAAATATCAGAGCAATTAGACTAACCTGGAAAAAATGCATTGACAATTAAGGATACCCACAATAACCCATTGTAACTATGTTTTAGTTCTAATTTGGTAACATGACCCCAAATGCACAGAATACCCTATTTTAGGTAGAAACAGATTTGCATAGGTGACAATGGGCTGCGAAAGATCCAAGTGTGAAAAACATAGATGTCATCTTAGGACTAAGGTGTGCCTGACCCAAGTCATGGTGTTTTCAATCTTCTTAAATGTGGGGTGTCTGCTTCTGTAAAGATGTACAGACTTGAGAATCCTATATAGGGTGGCTATGAATTAGAATCAACTTGATAACAGTGGGGTTTGGGTCATACACATGCAAAAGCTGTACAATGAATAAAGAAGACAATCGAAGAATTGATACCTTTGAATATTTTATGTTGAGGAAGAGCATTGAAAATACCATGGACTGCCAGAATGAACAAATTTGTCTTAGAAGAAGTACAGCCAGCATGTACCTCACTAGGATAGTGAGACTTCTCCGGACAGACTTTAACAGTAGGGAACCAGCTCCTGGAGAAAAGCATCATGCTTGATAAAGTAGAGGGTCAGCCAAAAAGAGGAGGGGCCTCAAGGAGATACAGTGACACAATGGCTGCAATAACTGGCTCAGACACAGTGGCTGTTATGGGAATGGTATAGGACTGGGTAGTGATTCTGTTGTGTGTAGAGTTGCTATGAGCTGAATCAAGACCCCTAACAACAACAGCATCGCAAATGGCACGGGTCTGGGCGCTCTGTGCAGAGAAAGTGTTTGGATAAAACTCTGGACATAGCTCTCTCTATGAAGCGGTTCTACAAAACCACAAACCCTGGTTTGGAGTACTTTAAGCTTCACTGATTCTCTGTGTAGACAGCCCAAACCCCCTTATCCCATTGTTTCCTCTTGTGAAGAATTAAGGACAGGGCAAGATATGACAAAATAGCAATTTATAAATTATCAAGGGCTCATGAGGGAGGGGGGATCAGGGAGGGAGGGGAAAAATGAGGACCTAATGGCGGGGGCTTAAGTGGAGAGGAAATGTTTTGAGAATGATGAGGGCAATGAATGTACAAACGCGCTTTACACAATTGATGTGTGTATGGATTGTGATGAGTTGTATCAGCCCCTAATAAAGTGATTTAAAAAAAAAGAATTAAGAGCACATTTCGTAGCCAGCAGAAAGGTCTTTCCCATTCCTGTGTCCAGATTGGTTCTCCCAGATGGTGTCTCCAAAGCCTTTACTGACTTCCCCTCATGGGAGAGGAGAGCACGGCTCATGGGGCAGAGTACCTGGGTGACATGTACCAGAAAGCTGGTTCGCTTGGGCTCTCTGAAGCATGTATTGGATATGAGGCTTGCAGTCACAGATTTTTTTTTAAACAGAATATTTCGTGGCTTTACATTGCATCTTCATAGTCCACATCTGCAGCGCCTGTCTTCTTAAGCTTAGAATAGATGGCGAAGGAGGCCTGGAAGCAATTTTCATCTATCAGATAGAGCAAAGAAGGCAATAGAACACATCTCCCACTGGCTCTCTCCCCCATTAGCCTGGATGCATATAATCATAGCACACCACACGGCATATACCTTAGAGACTCTTTGACCCAAGAACAGCATTTTCAAAAGCTCTGTAGCCCCCTGTGGGCCACAGAGGTGCCCCTGGTGAACTTCAAAGTGACACAAATATGCTAGGCCTCCATTCATTTTTATGGGCCATTGTCAGGCAGTTGCATAGACTGTCATTTATTAAGGGATGTCAGATTTCTGTATTTGTAAACTTCAGTCCATTTACTAACCACTTGAATTTGGTCTGGTTACAGATTGAATTTTGTCCCCCACAAAATATGTTGGCGTCCTAACCATGATACCAGTAGATGCAAATCCAAATAGGATTCTACTGGGAAATAGAGTTTAATTTAGTACATGACTGAGGCCGTATCAGTCAGTCTACACTGTGTCCTTACTCTGATCACTGTTTTATTCCTATAAAGAGCAGTTTAGCCACAAGTCAGATAGATGTCCCATGAACATCCTCAGGGTATTGAGGGTGCAGAAACCAAGATGAAGATCTCTCTCCCAAGCTGATAGAGAGCCTTCCCCTAAAGCTGGTGTCCTGAATCTAGGCTTGTAGCCCTCTGAGCTAGAATTTCTGTTCCTTAAAGTCACCCACTTATGCTATTTCTTTATATTTTTAAACCATTTTATTGGGAGCCCTTACAGATATCGTAACATTCCATCGCTCAACCACATCAAACAGTATTGTTCAGTTGCTACCACAATCAGTTTCAAAACATTTTCTTTCTTCCTGGACTCTTTGATATCAGCTCCCAGTTGTCCCCTCCCTTGCCCACCTTACCCCCCAGGAACACCAGGCAAGCAAGTTATGTCCTGAAACATCTGGTTGCCACACCACACTAGGCAAGAGTAGAAAGTAAGTACTGTTTTCATACACACAAAGTTGGAATTCTGAAATGTTCAGAAACCAGTTTTGTAGTATCAGGGTTGTTCAAGGTTTACAAAATCATTGATTTTTAATGACATAAATCACTGTTTGTATAATTTCCCTTCAATATTAATTTAATTTGCTGGGGATTGTTTGACTAGCCTCATATCACAGTGTTATGTATTGGTTCAACAGAATTTGGGAGAATAGATTTTGAAGTAAGTAGATTTTTAGACTAGATATCCACCACTCATCTGTCAGTCTGTCCCTGTGGTGGGTTCCCTGTTGCTGCGAAACTTAAAGCTGAGTTGCTGGTATTTCAAATAACACCAGGGTCACTCAGGGTGAACATGTTTGAGCAGAGCTTCCAGGCTAAGAACAAGTTAGGAAGAAGAATCCATTTCTGAAGGATCCGCCACTGAAGACCTTATGAGTAGCAGCAGAGCATTGCCAGGTATACCCCGGGAGATCCTCAGGTTGGAAGTCACTCAGAATAGGACTGTGGGTGACCTGTCCTCCTGAAGTCAAGTCTATCATAATGACATGGCTGGAGTAAAGGTTCAGGACCTTCATTTGCTACTGGGGCATAATTCAAACTGAGAAGAAATGCCTGCAGCATGCATTAATAATCAGAACTTGGCACATACAAAATATGAATCTAGGAAAACAGGAAGTGGTGAACATGAAATGGAATGCATAAAGATCAATATACTGGGCATTGTGAGCTGAGATGGACTGGTATTAGTCACTATGAATTAGACAATCCTGTGGCATATTATGCTGGGAAGACAAATTAAAGAGGGATTTTGCTACATTCATTGTTTAAAAGAGCATTTCAAGATCTATCTTGAAACACAAAATATAAGACTATAAAGACTGTACACCTACAAGAAATTCCAGTTAGTACAACTATTTTTCAAATCTATGCAACAAACATAAAAGCTAGACGTTAAAAAATTGAAGAACTCTGTAACTTCTTCACTCTGAAATTGATCAAGTGTGCATTCAAGATGCATTGATAATTGCTGGTGTTCGGAATATGGAAGTTGGAAACAAAAAAGAAGGATCAGTAGTTGGAAAATTGAAGAGTGGAGATTGAACCAAAACTGGAAATGGCATGACAAATTTTGCAAGACCAATGGCTTCATCATTGTAAATATCTTTTTTCAACAACACAAACAGCAACTATGTAGGTGAACTTTGCCAGATTGAATGCATAAGAATAAAATTAACTACTTCTGTGGGAAGATGAAGAAGCAGTTCAATATCATTCACCAAAATAAAACCAGAAACCAACTATGGAACAGACCATCAGCTGTTCATGTGTAAATTCATGAATTTTATGATATTGGATTATGTGCCAATGAAAGCTAAAAAAGAGAGAGCTATAGATACTTAAAAAGAAAAGAATCATCTAACCTTGTGCAAGTTACATAATCTGGTGTCGTTTAAGAGTGTAGGGGTGGAGTCTAGCCTATCAATTAGAATATAGCCAATGAGGCCTCTGTGTGGGCATGGCCTTCTCCTGAGGATTCTGGGAACTCCTATATTTCCTCCCTGGAGGTGGGAGACACACACACTCTCTCTGCTCACTCCCTCAGAGATTACTGACAAGACACATGGCGCTACACCCTGGGAGCTGGAGAAACCACATGGACCTACCTTGTTGCAACCAGACCTCCGGAGCCACATAGACCCCTGCCAGCGCTGAGATGCTTACAATGCCACTGGATCCCAAGACGTTGTACTCACTGGCCTGTGATCCTCCTGCATTCGGCATCATTGCATGTATTTTGTGAGTCTGAAGAGGACTTTATAGATTGGTATCGGACATATGGACTTATGGACTTGATCTGGACTGGTCTGGGATGTTTTCTCAATATTCAATTGCTCTTGTATATAAAGCTCTTTCTCATACACATATGAGTGTCTATGAATTTGTTTCTCTAGTCTACCCAGACTCACACAAGCCTGTAGCTGGACACCTTGTAGATCATACTCATCAGCCTGTTGAACTGTTCCTTTTTAGAAACATAAATACTACCCCACAAATTTTCATATATCCTGATTTTTAATTGCTGTGGCTTGCAGAATTAAAGCAGTTCAATTTAAAGGAAGGGAGGGAGGGAGGGAGGGAGGGAGGAAAAGAAAGAAACCCAAAGAGACACAAATGGGAGACTATCCTATGTTCATGAATAGGAAGACTCAATATTGTGAAAATGTCAACACTACGCAAAGCAACCTCTAATACAATGCAATTCCAATCCAATCCAAATCCTAACTTCAATCTTTAAAGAAATGGGAAAATTAATTACCAGTCTCATCTGGAGAGGAAAGAGACCTAGGATAAACAAAGAACTCCTTAAAAAGAATAAAGTAGGAGGTGTCACGCTACCTGACCTCAAAGCCTATTACATGGCCACAGTAGTGAAAACAGCCTGGTAGTGATACAATGGTAGGTGCACAGACCAATGGAACAGAATAGAAAACCCAGAAATAAATGCACCCACCTAGACACAACTGTTCCTCTACAAAGGGTCAAATATTGCTGAATGGAAAAGAGACAGTCCGCTCAGCAAATAGTGCTGGCAAAATTGGATCTCCATATTACAACAACAAAAAGAAGAAACAGGACCCATACCTCCTCCCATGCACAAAGATGAACTCAAGATGATCGAAGACCTAAATGTAAATCCCAGAGCTATATATATCATCACTGAGAAAATAGGGACAAATCTAAGGGCCCTATTGCAGAACATACACATACTATCACTATAACGAAGAAAATAATATGGAGAAGGATGAATAGATGAGTGGAACCTACCAAAACTAAGACACTTCTATCAAAGACTTCATCAACAAGGTAAAGAGTCCATGGACTGGGAAAACAAATCTTTAGCAATCACAAAATGGACAAAGAACTAGTGTCTAAAATCTATACAATACCAGAAGACCTCAATAAGAAAAAAAGATGATAATCCAATGTAAAAGTCAGCAAAAGACATGAAGGGACAGTTCACCAAAAGTGACATTCAAATGGCTAACAAGCACATAAAAAAATTCATATTGTCACTAGCCATCTGGAAGATTCAAATCAAAACAATCATGAGATACCACCTTACACCGACAACGACAGCCCGATTCAGGAAACAACAAATGCTGGAGAGGGTGTGGAGAACTTAGAAGTCTCATATGCCATTGGTGGACCTATAAACAGACACAGCCATTGTGGGAAGCGACATGGTGTACCTAAAACAACTGGGGATGCAACTCCCATGTGATTCTGTAGTGCTCTGCTGTATATGTACCCTGAAGAATAGGAGACATGACACAAACAGACATATACAGCCCCGTGTTCATTGCAGCACCGTTAACAATAGCAAAACATAGGAAACAGCCCCCCAAACCCATCAGTAGAATGATGGCTAAAGAAACTTTGGTATAAGCCCAATATGGAGTCTTATGCATGGTTAAAAAATACTGATAGAACTATAAAACACCTCACAATATAGATGAACCTGGAGAACATTATGCTGAGCCAAGTTAGTCAATCACAAAAGGAACAATATTATATGAAACTATTGCTATAAAGATAGACACCAAGACAAAGACAGACATCTGTTCTCAGGTCACGCAATCATTTATTCTGGACTTCCAAGCAAGGTGGCGATGTGGCTGACTAATGGTTACAGCACATTGATCGCTCCCTTATTTGTACATCTTATAAACCACATCTTCAGGGAAGGCCTTGCCTCAGCCGGTGTCAGGTTGTGTTTTTTGTTTTTTAAGGGAGAAGAGGGACAGGACCCAATAGCTCCTGCCATATAGCATTGTCCCATGGTCACCCCAAATTAGTAGACACTCCTATAGTGGTAATCAGTGAATTTCAATGAGAATTCATAACCAGAGTTGGGAGAGGGTATGTCTGTCTCTGCGAAGATGATTTAGGTTCTAGTGGTGGATAAATCAGAGTGGCAGCCTGCCCTTGGGGAAAATACTAACATTTTAAAGGAACATAACATTACTTATGCCGACTCCCAGTG